GAGTAGTGGTTGAACGGACAGATCCAAGCACGCTGTCCACATCCTCAGGTCTCAACAACTGAAACTCATCCATTAATACTTGACCTAAGCACGGTACACTGGACACATCCTCTGATTCTGCATTAATGGTTTTTAAATTTTTAAAAATAATTGTAAAATAATAATTTAAAAATTATTAAAACCCTTACTTCAGTCCTATGAATTGGAATGCCTTTTCTTTCTAGAAGACAAACTCTCTAGAAGACAAAGTCTATCAATATAACGAGAGCTGTGGAAGAGGGGCTGAAAGGAGGGGAGGAAAAAGAGAGAACCTCCATTGGTGCCAATGGAGATTTCTTGCCCCCTTTGCTTCCAACAGTAGGCAGACATTAAAATACAAACTAGTACGGGGATTTTAAAATCTCCTCCACCATTGTGTCAATCAAGATTTATTACATCTGCTCTTAATAATAACTGCACACTATCAAGTCAATTTTGAATTGTGATGACCCTTTTCAGGATTTTCTAGGTAGAGAATATTCAGAGGTCCATTGGTATCCTGGGATTAAGCAGCTTGCCCAAGACCAAAAAGATTGGCTCTTCTGAAATGCAGAGTAGGGAACTGAATTCCCAACCTCTGGCTCCTCAACTAGATACAGTGGTGCCTCGCTTAACGATGTTAATTGGTTCCAAAAAACCCATTGCTATGGGAAAACATCGTTAAGCGAAACACCATTTCCCATAGGAATGCACTAAAAACCAGTTAATCCGTTCCAATGGGAACGGATTACCATCCTTAAGTGAAAATCCCCATAGGAAACATCGCTAAGTGAAACAATGTTTCCCCCAACGGAAAGCCATTCAAAAGCATTGCAGCTGACTTCAATGCATTTCAATTGGCTTTCCGATCTCCGTTTTCGCTCATTTTTAAGTGTCTTAAAATGTTTGAAACCTGTTTTAAATGCTTGGAATCAGTAGTGCACCTTGTGAAACCTAAGCAAACTTAATTTGGCTCTGTTCTGAGTCTTCGTTAATTTTTGGTGATTTTCTGTTTTTCCCCTTTAAATTCATTGAACTGTCCCTTCAATGGATTTAAAGGGAAAAAACAAAAAATCACCAAAAATTAACGAAGAGTCAGAACAGAGCCAAATTAAGTTTGCACATGTTTCACAAGGGGGACTACCGATTCCAAGCATTTAAAACAGGTTTCAAACATTTTAAGACACTTAAAAATGAGCGAAAACAGAGATCGTTAAGTGAAAATCCCCCATAGAGAACATCGTTAAACGATGCGGAAAATTCCTCCAAGAAACACATCGTTAAGTGAATTCTTTGTTAAATGAAGCAATCGCTAAGCGAGGCACCACTGTACATAACTTACTGAGCTATCCAGTCATCTTCATCTGATATCAGTTGAAAAGGAAAAAAATCCAAAGGAATCTAAAACGACACTATGCCTAAATGATGTAGAATGTAATTTAGCCCTCATTCATTCAGCATTTTATTTTTCAAAATAAGCCTGTCTTCTTGGAAGTGTAGAAGTAGGGCTTTACTTATTTTGTAATCCACTGGCTGTCTCCCACATATATCCCCCAAATATCAAGCAGACCAATATGCGGATAGCTGGAAGACCATACAACTATAATCACAAAGCACTAAGAGGATTAAAATGAGATCAGTGGTACAGCGCGCCAAGAACTCTTTCTGAACAAGCTCCTTTAAAATGAATGCAAACTTTGCAAGAATATCTGCTGATCTAACAGCATATTGATCTGTTTGTAACTTGTGTAAAATACTGAATAGTCTGCTAGCTCAGTCAAATTACCACCCAATCCAACTAAAAGAGAAGCTTGTATGGCCTTTTAATTTTTGTATCAGCCTTCATAGAGGAGGTGCTTGAGGGAGAATGGTTATAAACTACGGACTTAAAAGGATTTAATGTGGCTTTATGGAAAACAACTATGAACAGAACCTCAGGATATTGGGAATGAAAGATTAATGATAATGCAGTATTTATTTATGAAATCCTACTTAGCAAAAAGAAATACCTTTTCTTTAAATAGCACCATCCACAGTGTGGGTCCATTGCGGATAAACACTCTTTACAGGACATATATTTGGTACAATTTGCAACCGGTATTCTTCTAATCTAAAATACAAAAAGCATTTGTTTACAAATGTCTAGTTATTCTTTCCAAAAGGTCAAACAATATTTCCATGAACCCAAGAAACATGAGCAACAACAGTAACAAATCCTTGTAAAGTACCAGCAGGTGAAAGAAAAATAATTAAACTGATCAGGCTTCAGATCTGGAAGGGCTGTGTTTGTAGACTTTCCTAAAGATACCTATTTAGATACTGTAATGCTAAAGGCAATTGCCTTCTAATAATCCTATTAAATATTTCTCTGGGCTTTTGCTCTTGACAATATCATTCAAGATCTGGCAGGGGTTCTCTAAAAATGTGACAATTTTTGTTCATTCTCTCCAAGCTCTGTAGGAATTCATCCCATTCTCCTTCAGGTTTGACAATCAGCTAAGGCTTGTGTAGAGACTTTGATTCTATCAACTTGTGAATACTCCTATGAATCAAATTCTTTCTATTTTAATCAGCTTTGCTTTTAAGTCTCAAGCAAGTCAATGTAACTGTTGCAGAACAACAAATATTGCAATAGCTAATCTCCCAAGTTACAAAGACCTAATTATGTTATCTGTAGAGCTCAGCTTTTCTAGTTACTAAAACTACCCATCCTGATAAAAAATGTTTTGTTTTACAAAACAGTAGCAAAGGTTTTCAGTAGGTTTGCTGCACCTCAGTGAGCCAGGATTTGGTCAGATGAAGTATGATGGCCAACTCCAGAAGTACCATTTTTGTGGGTGTGTTCAGGAGTCACAACAAGCCAAAATTCTGGATTCATGTGAATGACCCAATGTGCTAATGCACACTGTCTGGATGTTGCAACTAAGCAAACCTAGGCTTTTCTGTTTGCCTCTGGCACATTGTCATGTCTCTTCTCCAATAAGCTAAAATAGTTAACTGTGCCTATGATTATGATTATGATTATTATTATTAGCTTCTAACTCTGGCTTATTGGGAGAAAGTTTAGCCAGATCACTAGATTCAGACTGCATAATAAGTACAGTATGGATGGACAGTACTCAGGAAACCTTATTATTGGATGGTAGATAGATGTAATCTTTATCCACAGGATCAAGTTCAAGTTTGTGAAAAACTGTTGTTTCTTCCTCAATTTCATATAAAATATCAGGGCATTTTGGCTTCATTTCGTCATCAAGAACAACCTAGAAGCATTAAAAACACAGAATTAACCATAAACTTTGCAAATAGTTATTAACAAGACAATTGCACATCTCACTTCTTAATTCAGATACACAAACCAATCACCTTAAAGAACTGTTATTGCTGCCGCCACTGCTGTTTTAAAGGCAAAATGATTTTTAAAATGCTCCAAATGGCAGCTATTTTACTAAACACTGTTGTTATATATTCTATTCTATTCCATTCCTGTCTTTCTGCCACTAAACTCAAGGCACCCTCTCTTCCCCACTATATTCTCACTCCAGCGTTTGTAGTGTTTCTTCACGTTCAATGGCTTTCTCATTTACTTCACTGAAGTGGAAGATGTAAACATTCAAACAGATGTATGCACTCAGCTTCTCCATTCACTAAAAGACATGGCAAAACGTCACATGCAGAATTCCTGAGGTTTTAGAAATACAGTACTATATGTATTATTTAATATGTATATGTACACACATTTATATACACATACATACACATATGTTTAAAAGAACCTGTTTTTCTCCCCTAGGTGTTCAAAAGTCTGTTGATCATGGAGTAGTTTTTTTCCTGTTGTTTTGTGAACAGGTAGTTACCTACTCTTTGCATGTATGGAAGCTGTGTTGGTTTTGATGCAATTGCAAGCTAGAAATCACATGGAATGCTACCCCTGTAGAGTGTTACTCTCTGTATTTTCTTAACAGGATTCTGTCCTTAACATTAATGGTGTTAAAAATAAAAACATACTGTTGCAACTTTATGTGACCTCAATCTACAAACTGATGAAACCACAGAGATTCAAGCAGTAAACACAGGCTTACCTTCAGTAATTGCCCATTTTCTGTCCCCAAAAACAAAACAATTTTGTTCAAAACTATTGTGGCATAAACTGACACTAGATTAGAATGATGCATGGAAACTGAGTTGTTCAATGGCTGTGCTACTGTGACCTGAAAAATCAAACACAGAACAAAAAAATTATCATTCGATCATAAAGGTGTGCACTAGCTTCAGATAAGTTGTCCAAATGAGGCAAAACATGGATATTTCTATGTTGCCAGAGCAGATACAGAATGGTTTAAGAAGCCCTCTATTGTGCTTGGGTTGGTTGGGGCACCCTACAAATCACTGTAGTTTGCTCTAGTGTTAGGGGAGTTACAAGTGCTGAAATCTGAACAAAAATATTTGCTGTAATAAAAGTGTCCAAGTAGAAGATTAACAGTTACAGCTACATTGAAAGTCAAAACCTCTCACAAAAACCTGAATCAATGAGCTCAGCTTGACCTCAGTGGATGCTGTTTATTCCCTATCCAACTGAACCAGCAGCTATTTTGCATCCAGAAATGGAGAGAGGAGGATAGTACATTGCTTATCAGATTGGACACATTCTAAAATTGTCTTGCTTTTCCTTTTTGATAGCTACACTGAGTCTTCACTAAGTGTGTGTGCACCATGTGGGATGGATATCTGGTTTCCTTGCATGGGCTTTGGGTGGACAAATTAAAACAGCTCTAAGAACTATCTCCACCCAGTTTTCTACTTTCTTTTATCTTTTATAATGCTTAGTGCTAGCCTTTAGTTGAAAAACCATTTCCCCCTCTGTCTCCTTGACTCTTGTGTTCCACCTTCCTCATCCCGTCACCAGGATTTCATAAACATTTACATATGATTTCAGTTAACCACAGTCTGACAGATGGTTCTAACTTATCACTAACCTTAATAAGACAACTGCAAACCATAGTTCATGAAGATGGTTTGTTTGGATTAACCACAGTTAAATTAGGGCTTGTGTGACTTATTTGTTAAATATTAACATTTAGTAACAAATAACCTGAATATGTGAGGGGAAAGATGATTAGGACCCATATATCTTTCCACCTCTTGTATTTTCAAAGTACTCATTTGAGAACAGATTGCTACTCTCATACTTATCTCCTTCTGCCTCCTCCGCCACCCTCATTGCTGTTGCCCTTTGTTAGAAAGAGGTAGCTATATATACAGTCTCAGTAAAGGCTACCAGCAGACCTTGACACATAGAAATCAGCTCTACTGACTTCTGCAATTAAGCTGGGGAACTTTCCTCTTCCATTACCATGAATAGATTTTCTGGAAACCCCCCCTCCCTTTTCCTTCATCACCTGTTCCTAGAGTAGTTACCCCTGTTCAATAATCATAAGCTCAACACTGAACTGTTGCACTCTACCAATGTAAATACCAAATAATCTTAACAATACTCTTTCAAAATAGAGAAAATATTGCATTACTAAAAGTGGCTACATCCAGTGAGTACAAAAAGGTGACAACAAGGAATTGGGTCTTCTAGGTGGTGCCCCTCCCCTTCAACAAATCTTTGGAATAAGTTTTGATATTGAATTAGAGCAGGCTTCTCCCCTCCTGATATTCAGGAAATCAGTGAAGACAGAATTACACAGAGCTGCCTTCAATAACTTATCCTCCAGATGCTATTAATACTAATTTAAATTGCTTTTCTTGTGCTTTTTTTCTTTTTGCATTAATTTTAAATCTAGATCAGTGAACTGCCATATTGATTGTATTGTTATATGGGGTCAAGTGGGGTTCTCAGTTTTTCATTTGTAAGTCACTCAGAGTAGTGTTTCCACTAAAGGAGTTGTATATAAATCAATAAATAAACTAAATTTATAAATAAATAAACTAAATTCAATCCAAAATGGAAAGAGGGGCTTCCAATTTCCAAAATGTAGCCTAAGTGAAATCGTCATGCTTGACAGCCTAGGAAGAAACTAGGCTTGCTTTTGTAATGCCAAATTGTGATTTAGCATTAGGTCTGAACAGAATGTCTTGCATACAGCTTGGCCTTCCTTTGTCACTGATGGACCATTCAATAGTTTTATTATGGAAAAGATTAAGACCCAGTATGCAGAGTCTGTGGAATAGGTTAATAGCAAAAGAATAAACATGCCTTTAAGCTGCACAGGAAACACAGCCATTCACTTCATGGAAAACTATATGCATTCATGCAAATAACAGCCATGACTTACTGGCACACTTCCCTCTTGATCATGAGTTTACCCATATTATCCCATACTACAACACTAGCATGTTCTTAGGTCCAACCTACAAGCTGTCTCTGTTTAGCCACAGAGACAGCTTGCAGATGACATGCTGCAGACTCTGTAAAAGAATTTAACTGAAGGAAAACCTATTCAAATCAAATAGCTATCAAAAGAAAGCTCTGAACTCACTCTCATGCAGAGAGCTGCAATACAAAATTCTAAAAATGCAAAGCCCCCAAAACCAACTGTGGGTTGAAGGGAAGGAGGCTTTAACTTTTTGCCTCATGTGATCCTCATGACAAGAATCGGGGTGGGAGATGGCGAGTGATTTGCATTTGTAATAGAAGAAAAATCCCACAGATGTGTCATAACAATTTAAATGTAGTATCCAGATGATAGTGATTCATGGGGTGTTGAACCACTGTGTAACCACACACTGCTGCTCACTCCAATCAATAAGCTGTTCCTCCACATGCTTTTCTCTCATCTGGGTGTAGATACTAGAACTGAGTCTGTCTAAGAGCAAAGTGGCTATGGAGAAGGGACAGATCAGAGAAAGATGAGTGAGAAGGCTGTATATTACTCAATATTTACTTATGCATATGCTTTAGCATAATTTTAGTCTATCTTTAAGGCAAAACTAGAGTAATGAAATCCCTTAAACGTATACTTAATAAGTCCTCTCAGTCTAACATTAAAAATTAATAAAGCAAGCAATACTTATAATAAATGCATCCCATAAAAAATCCAGTACATAATAGCAGCTAAGAGCCATCATCAATTCAGTGGTTCTTCTGCTCATACTGACTAGAAGATTCAAGTACTTTTCACAGGTCATAGTTAATGTGGAATTCACTGCCACAAGATGTAATGATGGCTGCCAGCTTGGACAGATTTTGAATGGGGCTCAATAAATTCATAGAGAATAAGGCTATCAGTGACTAATAGCCAGGAAGACTGCATGTCACCTCCAGTCTCAAGAGCGACATGTCACTGTATACTAGTTGCTGAGGAAAGCGAGATAGAGGATCCAGTTGCATTCATGTCCTGCAAGAGACATCCCATTGTAACCAACTGTGGTGAACGGAATGCCAGACTTTGATCTGATCCAGCATGGTTTTTCTTCTGTTCTTACAATCTTAGTAAAAATAAAAACTGAAGAAAAAGCCAAAAGGGGGAGGTAAGAGGTTTTCAGGGCTTCTTTAAAGGTATGTGATTGCCACAGAAAAAACCACCTCCTACAGCAAATAGTTTCGATTTGAGAGCAGTTGTAAGAACTGACTACCTAATTCTTAATAAATTCTGCAGCACAATTGGGATTCCTACTCCCACCCCATATTAGCACATTAGCATAAATGTTATCATAGAATTTTAATGCTAGGAACCTTCTTTATTCTACAATTGCATAATGATGTTTCAACACTGCAGAATCAAGTTCCTGTTTTTCATGTTGAGAAATGCTACAAGATCTTCTTTTACATATGTTTAACCAGCTGAGTATCCAAATTCTAAATTTGACTCATTCAATAATAAACATTTTAAAGGCTCACGACTGTAAAAAAAAAGTTAAACATGTACAGTACTTAAATCTTTCCCTTTGAAATTAATGGAACTGGATGATGCTTTTTGTTGGCTAGATCATGCCTTATATTTTTACAAAGTTATATCTTGCTGGTCTTTTAAGCATATGAAATGAATGTGGAATCCTCTATATTTTGAAAATTACTAAGAATCACTGGCAGGAGATCCAAGTGATGAAGTACAAAGTATTAAAAATTCAACTGAGGAAGTCTAGCTTCAAAATTTATACAGTACTCTTAAAGCATACTTCTCTTTGAGTCAATCATCTCTCAGTCTAAACTACTTTATATTTTTCTAGATGAAATTAGATAATATCTATGCCACTCCAAACTCTTCTGGAGTAGATGTGATAAAAATGTATCCAACATGAAATAAACTCTTAAACAGAGAGAATACAGATCCTTCCTTTGCAACATTTACAAAAACATACTAAAGCATTACAAACTAATTCTGAGCCAACACAAAATTCTGGGGGGGGGGGGGATGCCAAAGGATAGCCTGTTACAACATGTAAGTATTACAATAATGTTACAATAAAGTTACAAATACTATGGCAGAATGGTAAATAAGGGCAAGAATCCCTTTGCATTATGCAATTGCATTAAGGGTAATCATGTAAGCAGTGATAGTGAGATATTCTGCTATCCACTGCATGCTTGGTCTTTCTCCATTTCACCAACTGAATGTGTGTTGGGTTGTGTCACTGGGGATAGCTGACAAGCCACAAAAAATCACTTGCATACATGTTTTTCACAAAAGGATTTTGGCCATGGCCAGAACCTTTAGCCTTACATGTGTTTTAGACTTCAACTCCCAGATGCCCTGGTCAGCACACTCCAAGGTAACAGATTACAGGGCGATATTCAAATCACCTGGAGGGCAAATGCTTCCCCACCCTTCCTGTACAGTCTACATAAAATTAAGCTCATCTGAATTAGTGTTGAAATTACTTCCAATAAAATACTCATATAATTGTGATCTGAACTGGTCTGCATTTTGTTATGGCACGAACCATTACGACAAATGTTACAAATCCTCTCCAATGTGGGTATACGACAGCACACAAAACAAAAATTTGGTAAACCTAATATGATGGAAAGCATTTTATGTTCTTACTTCTGAGCTGCCATTTGACTCAAAAGACCTTTAAGGCAACTTAAAAACAAACACAAGTGCACAAAACGATTAAATAAATTAAATCTAGCAAGAATTTAGACCAGCATACTTGGTGCTCTTCAGCATACAAATGGGTCAGGATCAAACCATTCATATGACAGGCTTCAACATAAGCAGTTTAACATTGTTACTGCTCATATACAGCGAAATCAGTATCCCATCTCACAAGCAAACTCTGCACTGTATTGGCCGCTGTCTTTGCTTGTTCAATGGCTTCAAGAATGATCCCATACATTTATGTCTGCAGGGAATCTGCTTCCCTCAGCATTCTACAGCCTCTTGATCATAATGACTTGAAGTGAAACCAAGTAAGACAATGTATTTCTCGGGCTTGGAAGAACATGCCTAAGAACCTAAGACAGACTATTCGACATCTATAGCACAAATCCTTACTAAAGTTTATGATAATAGGTTGTGCATCCCATCCCATCTGTGAGGAAATCCCTACTAGGCTTGCAGAAATCTGCTACTGTCACTACCTATTGCTGATATGAAATCACACATAGCCATTGTTTTGAACTGAGCTCTGATTTACAGCCCTGGAAAAAAAAGACCACAGTTTAATATAATTACAGATATTCATGAGAGCTGTTATCCAGCCTTGGATACACATATTCTTACATATATAAATATATCTTATGCATACAGTTTGCAGCAGAATACTTGGGGTTGACCATTTATCCACTAATCCAACCTAAGAATGAATGATGAATGCCATCAGCTCTCAAATAAGCCATCATAATACTGTACTTCATAGTTCAGGAGCTATAAGCTTGTGTATTCAATTTACTATCTGGTGATGAGGCTGCTGGTGCAGCAATTCCATGTGCTTTTGAATGAAACTGATTTTCTGGGTTCATGTAATTCTGCTTTGGGATGTGTTGCTTTGATTGCTCTGATCAGCATGCTAAAAGGTTGTGCAACTGGAGACTCTCTAGGATCTCTCCCTGGATTTAAAAACTATCACTTACGTGGAAGTTTTCCATGCTGCTTGTAGGTGGTAGAAGTTGAAGGCAGTGACAGAACTTTTTCCAGCTTCTGCTTCCGCCTCACAAGAAAATGTTAGAATTACTGAATGACTACTCTCTTACTCTTTGAGAATATCTTGAGTGGTTCCATGTGACTCTATTCTTCCTATCATATTCTTAAGCATTTATGAAAAACTACTCAGTGAGATTTTGTGGGAGAAGTTTGAGAGGACAGGCATCTGTTTATGGATGGCATTTAAACTGGGGTGCTTCCAAGCAAGGCTTTTATAAAGTGACTATCCTAATTCACCAAAGAATTAGACAAGCAGTCCAGACAATATCATCTTCAATTTGTAACTCATCACTACTATGTTTTCCTACTGTTTTATTCATCTTTTCTTTTTTATCAGAGGGGAAAAAATCCATTAAGGATTGACAGCCAGAATGGCTACACAATGTAATTGACTGATAATGCCTGAAGCTTTCCTCATAGAACTGTCCTTAATGTCCTCTTCCTTAGCATTAGGGATTGCAGAATGCCCTATAAGTGCACTGCCCAAGTACTCCACCAAGCAATGAATCAGAGTGGATGGGTCCAAAGCTCAGTTCAAATAAGACAGAAGAGCTATCAATGGCTAGCTCTGCAAATCCAAATATGAAGTGTGACAGGCTCTCAGTACAGCACGGTTACTAACTGGGAATGCTGCTGCTACAGTGATGCTATTATCACGGCAGGAAGACATTTAGGTGACTGCAGGAGCACATGACTTCAACTGTATTTGTTTACATGGATCTTTAATACTTTAATGTAGTATATTGTTTTACCTTTGTAAACCCCTTTGAAGCGGGAAAGCAGTATACTGTATTTATTAAAACACAATGATATAAATAAACAGAGCACGACTCATTAGGTTCTTTGGTGATGCCACACTTTAACTTGCTTTATTGTGTACTAACAATTTATTCATTAACCTGAATAAATTGTTTACAACCTCCTGCTATTCTAAGCCCAACAATGGTCTGCTCCTTGCGAAGCTACAAGAATCTTATCAAAACTTATTCCACAAGTCTGCAATTTCGTAAGTGCCACAACGCTAAGAGTTAAATTCAATATTTTTAAAGCATCCTCTTAGCTAGAAAGGTGGTGGAAACGAGACCATTTGTAACAGTCATTGGATACTTGCAAACTTTTCTCTATGTAAATCCCCCTTCCCCACTGAACCTGAACAGTATAATTTTCTATATTACAGCTCTCCTGTCTTGACAGGAGGCATAGTCCACAAAAGTAATATTTCTTTTTTAAAAAAATACTTTTTATTAGTTTTCACTCTATTTACATTTAATCCGTGCTTGTCAAACATCGTGTTACATGATCTGCTTACAGTTATTTTTTACATCTCAGTGTCTTCCCAGTTGTCCCCCCAAATTCCAGACATCTTTCAAACATTCAAACCATTAATGTACGTATTTTAGTATATAATATTGGCTACTATCATAATATTACTTTCATAGTGTACAATATTCTCAAGATCTTCTAATAACATTCTTAACTAAAGTAGTTCCAAATCCATGCCCCAACCTTATATCTAGTTTAATTCACCTAAAAAGAAATCCCACCATATTACATCTTTACCCTGGTTAGTGCTCCCTTATTTCAATTTAATTCTCCTTTTTAATATAAAAGATATGCTCCTTCACAAAAGTAATACATATTTCAAAGCTCTGTGTGTAACATAAGGGAGCAACAAATTATCAATAAAATAAGTGTATTCATGCTGTGCAAATTTGCAAAGAGCTAGATAGAAGAAACTGCATGCAGACAATATAACTAACTACTACAGGTTGTTTCATTACAGATCTAAAAATCTTTGGACGGGGAAGCCACCCTGTCCCATCTGTATGCTGAAACAGTGGCCTACCTCACAAGGCTGACATAGCAGCAAAACTGCTTAAGCCAAACTACACCGTCATTTCACATTTTTTAAAAGATAGGGCCAAAAGCAGTGTGGATGGGCAGGGACTATGTTCTCGGTAAGATGAACTTTTGGTCTCCCATCCAGCAATAGATAGGTCTTTAAAGAACAACGAAGACTACTTACACAAGCAGAGTTTGACTGAGGCAGGAATTCCGACACACTCTCCTTTTTGCAGCCTCGGGCTTTACTCAGGAACTGTGTCAGATCGAAGATGCAAAGGGCTGTAGAGGTTGGGCCCGCTCCCCTCTTAGCCGAGCCAAAGATCCCGATCCAGAAAGCGCGCTCCTCCAGGAAGGCGGAGGAGAGGATTTGGGTCGCGTCGCCACATCGCAAGACTCTCTGGCTGTGGCCTCTGACATGATTGTGGTCCACGTCTTGAGGGACGATGAGCATCTTGGGCTCCAGGCTCCGGTTGTAGTGATAGTAAGGGAAAAAGAAGTGCTCGCCCCACAGAAAGGCGTCCACGAAGTACAACACGTTTTCCACGGCCAAGTGCAGCTGCTGCGCTTCTCCCACGGGCTTCGGACCTTCTCCTTTGATGGAGACGGCCGTCATGGCGGTGCTCATGGCCAGCTTGGTGTTGTAACGGGAATCGTTCAGCATGTGCGTCGTGGCCACGATCAGGTACCAGTCTGACTCGAAGGAGTACATCGCGCCGGCGGCGGCGCCCCGAGACGTGTAACTCACCAGCTCTTTGCCGAAGTCCTTCTGGGGCGCCCGGGCGGTCCCGTTGGCGTGGGCGCCGCCGCCGCCGAGGTCCTCCTCGTAGCAGCTGCCTTCCGGCTGGTTCCAACAGGTAAGCAGGCGGGAGCGGCCGAAGGGCAGCAGCAGCTTGTTGACCGAGGACTCCTGCGGCTGGCAACCGCCCACCTCTGCCTGCCGGGCCAGCGAGGGCTCCGCTTGGTACCAGCAATTGCCGGCGGCCACCAGCAGACGCCCCTGGCTGACCGCCAGGTTGCTAACGGCCTGAGGGAAGGTGAGGGTCCCCTGGCAGGCGGCCCTCCCCACAGCCCACGTCAGAAGCAGCGCGGACCACGCCAGGCGAGCGGGGCCACCGCCCAGCCGCGGCTTCGTCCTTCGCGGCCCGCCGGCCATCTCCCGCGGCGTGGCGTTGGCGCCTGCCGAAAGCTTTTCAGCGGCTGGGCGCCAGGCGGTCCTGCAACCCGCAAGCGAACAGCTGCCCCCTATCCATGTTGTGTCGAAGGCGGGAACTTCTGTCCTCGCTCTCCTCCCCGCTCTTTATCCCTCGCGGTGGCTTCCTCCGTGCCACGCAAGCCCTGCGCGCAGCAGAAGTTCCTTTTTTGTTTGTTTTAGACTGAGGGACGGTTATTGCCCTGGTTAAGTGTGGGGAAGTGAGCCTCCTCCGAGCCTGCTTTCCCGGCCCCTCTTCCCCGGCCGCCTGCCTGCGAGGAAAGCTCTCCTCCCATCTCTCTCTCTCTCTCCCTCTCTCCCCCGCCCCCCCCGGCACACACCCTTGCTCTTTCCTCAGAGAGACGCGTGACCCCGGTGTGAGGAGCCGCACGTGTTATCTGCCTTCTTCCCGCCCCGCCCTTCTGCCTCACAGCCCCTAAAGCCAGGACGGGGTGATTAGAGGCTCCAGATAAAGGAAGGAGGAGCGCCTGGGGGCTCGCCCCTCCTTTTGCCCGCTGCAAGGGGGCTCAGTCCTCCTCGCCCGCCACCTAATAGCCCCTGTTGGCGGGAATGGGGGAGGCGGGCATGCTTCCACTCGAAAAGCACGTGCGGCAGTGCTGCTTTTTCCGGAGGAGGCCTCTCGGTCTTGCCACCGACTTATGGCGACTCTTACGAATGATTGACCTCCAGAATACCCGCTCATGGGCAGCCTTCCTTTGCTCTTGCAAGCTCAAAACCTTGCTTCCCATTATAGAGTCAAGCCATCTCATATTTGCCCTTCCTCTTTTTCTGCTGCCTTCAGCAGGAAGACGTGACCTCTTCAACAGGGTGGAAAAGAACTATTTTCTTTTTAAGGGTTCTGCCCGACAGTCGTTCGAGTGTTTCTTTCTATCCTCCCTTCTATGACTCTGGGTGGAAACAAAAATCTCATTCAATTCTTTCCCATCACATTTTCTCCCACATGTCATTGTTCATTTTTGAATAAGAAGCAAATAAGATGTCCCCTCTTCCCCATCCACGTCTTTTTCATTTTAATTCTGAAAGTGACATAGCTTTTATAGCGCAGCCATTGAACTGCTGTACTGCAGCCAAAGTATGCTCACAACTTGGGGTTCAATCCAAGGTAGATGGCTCAAGGTTCACTCAGCCTTCCAGCCTTTAGAGGTCAGTAAAATGAGTACCAACCTCACCGGGCAAGCAACATGTAGGCTGCATAATTAACTTGGGAACTGCCCATAGCTTTAAGCACTATAGGACGGTATATAAGCAGCATGCTTTTGCTTTGCTGTTATCTAATACAGCTCTAAATTTGACAAAAACAATTTTTTTAAAAAAGAAGTTGTCTAGAGGAGGGAAAACAACAAGTGTTCAGTTGAGGGGAATTACCCTACTGTAATACTGTGCCCCACTGTCAGTTTCACTGTATACATCACCTGCAACTGCCCCTTTGCATTGGGTTAGAAAACAGTGGCAGCAGAATTGGAACAAAATAAACAACCCTCTGCTGGCTAAACAGAAAGATATTTTTCTCTATGGAAAAAGACTGGGCTTCCCCGTGCTTATGTTTAGTCCTGGGTAAATACTTTGGTTTTAACTATGCCAGCACCACCACAAATCATGGGGTACATTGCCAATGTAGTTGCCACCCTCAGTTTCATTGGGACTTTGCTCTGAGAGAATACACTGTCTTTTAAGGTGTGACAGTTGGACAAACCCTCAGTTTCATCGGGATTTTGCTCTGAGAGAATACTGTCTTTTAAGGTGTGACAGTTGGACAATAAAAGCAGTTGGAAATGACCCAAAGAAACCAAGAGCAAATGGAACAGAGAAGCAATTGGGTGAGTGGGGCATTGTGAAAGAAATGTTGCTGACAGTTGTGCAACACTCCCTGCTTTCTCAGCAGCCTTCAACTGCTTGCAGTCTGCTTTTGAGAGTAATCATAGCCACTCACACAGTTTCTCTCTGGGCTTCACAATGGAGAGGACTGGGTTTGCTGAACACTACTGGCCCAACCAAAGATAGAGCATGGGTGAGGGGAGACTTTGCCCACTGACTTCTCTGTTCTTCCTTTGGCTGATAGGACAGCAGAATTAGAAGCAGTGACTAGTTTTCCAGTTCCAAAGTGCTCAGATTCTCAAGGATGCTAATGGAGTCTCTTGGAGCTGAGGAACTGCTGGATATCCATATCCCAGTTCATGTACTGGTCTTTGATGGTAATAAAATATTCATATCCCAGTTCAGGTATTAGTAATAATGATTATGATAATTGCATACTGTCAAGTAAATTGACAGTATGCAATTAAGGTGACTCCAGGGGTTTTTTTAGGTATAAAGTACTGTACATAAATGGTCTACCATTCCCTTCTTCTGGGGGTGGCCTTGGACTCTGCAGCTTGCCCAAAGCTACTCAGGCTAGCTTCTCTCTTGGGATACACAGTGGGGAATCAAACTCCCAACTAGAGATGAGGGTATTTGTATTCGTATATGAATATCCCCACACAGGTGGTGTTAATGAGGATCCAGCCCCATGAGGCCGGATGGTCCACTCACCGATCCATCACGGACGCAGATGGCATGATTCTATGAATACCTCTGCAGCATGCAATCCGCTCGCTATTCCCGGCAGGAGGTGGGAGGGCAAGCCTCGCTGCAAGGCCAAAGAGTGGTGAGCGGATCGTGCGCTGCGATGCCATTGGTAGAATCACACCATCTGTGTCTGTGGTGGATCAGTGAGTAGACTGTCTGGCCCCATGGGGCTGAACCCTCATTAACATCACCTGTGTGGGGATATTTGTATATGAATACGAATACACCCATCTCTACTCCCAACCTTTGGCTCTACAGCCATATACAGTATATCACAGAAGTGAGTACACCCCCTCAAAATTCATAAATATTTTAGTACAGTGGTTCTTAACCTTAGGTTACTCAGGTGTTTTCAAACTGCAACTCCCAGAAACCCCAGCCAGCACAGCTGGTGGTGAAGGCTTCTGGGAGTTGCAGTCCAAAAACACCTGAGTAACCCAAGGTTAAGAACCACTGTTTTAGTATATTGTAATCAGGTTCTCCTTGAGCCGGATGCAGCCCCTTTGTCTGGGCGGGAATAAAGGTCAGAGGCGTTTTCAAAATTTTAACAGAGTCCTTTTTATTTTCCAAAACCACAACATCAACTATTTCAAATGGGTCCAACATACTCAATTCTGGCAAAACCTTATAACTGCGAACCTTCACGTCTGGAGTGAAAATGTCACTCCTTACATCAGGGCCGGACCAAAGCACTCCTGATCCATCATCGCTCTCAAGGGCATGCTCCGCACCGCGCAAACTGTGCCACAGCAAGGGTGTCTCGCTGTGGCAGTTGGTTGAAACAGGGACTGGGGTGAATCACCTTCCTCCCCCCACATTGGTTGCAGGGGTAGACCACTACTGTTCATTCCAGCGGTTCCAACCTCTCGTTGCCCGATTTAGCTGTAGGAGGGTCTGGGAGCAAGCCCCCACCAGTCTTCAGGTTCGGAAACTCCCTTGTCAGCTTCTGCAACTCATCTGACTCCTTCTCACCTCCTGCCTGTATTGCCTTATCTCTCATGTCTCTTGCCTTCTCGCCCGTTACCACTCTGAAATTTCGCACCTCTTCCCCCTCTTTTTTAATCTCTTCCCACATAATGAGATCTAACTCCTCCCCTCTGTCTTCTGCCAAATACACCTCCAACGTTTTCCTCTCCTCTCTCTCATCCTTCTCTGTCTCTACTAAGATCCCTTCCACACATCCTTGTTCCTCTTCAGTAGTATGAATCATCGAGGACGGCACACTAATGATTCCTCCTTCACATATATCTTTTCATGTGACAAGGCTGAAGAAATGACACTTGGCTACAATATAAAGCAGTGAGTATACAGCTTATACAGCTTATACTTCCTCATGAAAAGACCTGATGATGTTAAGGAGCTGAGATGGACATTCAATCTTGGGAAGTATTTTTAAAAGGCCACCCTTGCTAACCACATGAAAGGCCTTTGTGAGATCTATGAAGGTCACAAAGAGTGGCTGTTGTTCCCTACATTTCTCCTGCAATTGTCTGAGGGAGAATACTATGTCAGTGGTGGATCTATTAGCTCGAAATCCACACTGTGATTATGGATAGACGCTGTCTGCAAGCACCTGGAGTCTCTTCAGCACAACACGGGCTTTTGTTGCCAACGATTTAGACATTAATGGCTATGTGTTGTATTATTTTGAGGGGACAGCACATTTACACTGTTATACAAGCTGTATACTCAGTGCTTTACATTGTAGCCAAGTGTCATTTCTTCAGTGTTGTCCCATGAAAATATATACTAAAATATTTATGAAATGTGAGGGGGTGTACTCACTTCTGTGATATACGTACATAACTCACTTAGCTATCCAGCCTGCTCAGCCCCAATAATATCTGTTGAAAACTCCAGTATCAGAAGGTGATGAATCTATGAAAACTTCTATTTTGCAAATAATGTGTTTTATTGGCACTCCTGTAGGGATCACTTTAAAAACTGATTCTTAGGAGCCTTGCAGTTCTCTTACTTGAAAAATATAAGCTATAGTCAAATGTTTGGCATCTGTTGTCTGCTTCTGACAGCACCCAAACCCCACTTGTGTTTATGTGATCACTGATCAGCATTATTGGAGCAGAAGTTTCAACTAAACTGATCAGTAGAAGTGATTTTTGCCTGCCTCTCTCTTAATAGCTGGAAGAGGATCTGTTACATTTATCATATAAATACTTGTGTAGTTTTGCCATTAACAGCATAATTAGACCGATTTAGTTAGGAGGGCATGGACTTACATTATATACACATTGCAAGTGAAGGCCATAGAGTTAGAGAATGCATTCTAGACATGACAGGGCTGTCATTTCCTGTCAGGTATTACTGTCTTTCCGAAATGCCATAACAGCAGTACTGGATTTACAGTCAAGGCAAAATACCTAGCTTGGGATCAGAGACTGTGAGGTGGTCTCTTAATTATGAAAAATAGAAGAAACAGAATTTTAAAGTTAAAAATAACTGTTCAAAGTTTTGGTAATACTGTATTATAAATTTAACATAGTTTAACACTTCATCTGCCCTGAACCCAAATTCTGAGTGGATTAATCTGCTGAGTGTGGTATTGTGAAAGAAATGTCATTACCCAACTATTTTGCAACAATAGCAAAAAAAACTGCATCATACTTGGTATTTTCAAGAATCATCATTTTATTTATATCTCATTTGCTTCTCTGTCCTTCCTGTGAGAAACTTGAAAACTCAGACCTACTGGTCTAGGTTATCTCATGTTATCCTC